AGCTACAGAGAGAGGTTAAGTAACTTATCCAAGATTACAATGCAGGAACTTATGAAAAAAAAAAAAAAAAGAATGTCTGCATTTATTTACTTGAGTGCCAGAAAACAAGGAGAACTACGCCACCTGCTGGTGTATTCCCCACATGGCCACGACAGCTGCGGCTGGACCAGTGATGGGGATTCAGGAACCTGGACCATCTTCCACCGCCCATCCGAGCTCCATGAGCATCCCAGGCACCAGCTGTGCCCCGGTGCAGGGCACTGGATTCGGTGAAAGGATATGAAACGAGGGGTGGGACTCAGAGCGAGAAGCAGCAGCTCCGTGTAAGTAATTTTCCCCGAGGAAGTAGCCGTGGGAGCAGACGGCCTTCACAAGGCGTTTGGGATCCACAGGCTCACGGACAACAGGGACTCAAGTGTTTGATACAGCGCGAGCCGTCTCCAGGATAGCAAAATCCCTGAATCAGAGAGTACCAGGACTTTTTTTTAAAAGACTTATTTCATTTTTGATTGGAAGGGCAGTATACAGAGAGAAGGAGGTACAGTCCACTGGTGCACCCTGCAAGCAGCCGCAATGGCTGCAATTGAGCCGATCCAAAGCCAGGAGCATCTTTCAGGTCTCTCACATGGGTGCAGGGTCCCAAGACTTTGGGCCGTCCTCGACTGCTTTCCCAGGCCACAAGCAGGGAGGCTGGAAGAAAAGTGGAGCTGCCGGGATAAGAAGTGACATCTGCCCCGGATCTTGGCGCATGCAAGACGAGACTTTAGCCACCAGGCTATCACGCTGGATCCTGCAAGCATTTTTAAACCAATTATATACTCATTTCACATTCCTACTGCTTAACTTACCAAAAAAAAAAAGCTAAAAACATTTTTAAAAACAATGTGTGCTTACTGTTGAGGACAATTTTGTTTGGAAAACAGTGCAAATATTAACTTGACAAAAATCCATAAAAGTGCAAAGCAGAAATCATAAATTCATAGAGTGCAGCTAAATGATTTTATTTACATTTTATTCCATCCACATACAGCTGAAAACTTGAGCATTCAGCCCGAGGGTGTTCCCCAGGTACAGCGTGCGGCCACCGGAGGGCGGCGAAACGCCACCAAACACCTGAGAAAGCCGAATCCTGGAAAGTTTTTAGGAGGGAGTGCGTACAGTGTCCATGGAGTCAGTGTGAGACCCAAGCTGAAATCTAGCGGGAAGATAGAATTTCTATCTTTATCATCATTTCATTATTATCTTTCTTATTTCAGAGAGAGAGAGAGAGAGAGAGAGAGAGAGAGAGAGAGAGAGAGGTCTTACACCTGCCGGCTCACCTCCAAATGCTCCAAACAGCCACGTAGGTGCAGGGTCCCAAAGCTTTGGTCCGTCCTCGACTGCTTTCCCAGGCCACAAGCAGGGAGCTGGATGGGAAGCGGAGCCAGCAGGATTAGAACCGGCGCCCATATGGGATCCCGGCTTGTTCAAGGCGAGGACTTTAGCCGCTAGGCCACCGCGCCGGGCCCCATAATATTGACTTTCACAGGAACTTTATTGCCTCCTCCCAGAATGTAAATAAGGCACCAGGTGGCACACGGTGGGTCACTACTAAAGGCATAGGGAAAGCTAAGTGTTTGCTGCCCAGTAAAACGGTCGCATATTTAATGTCAACATTATGATGGGTTTACTCATTGAAGTGAATGGAATGCAAATTGTTACCTTGAATGTGACGGCACCTTTTTATTATTATTATTATTTTTTATTGAGAAATCAGATATACAGAGGAGCAGAGACAGAAAGATCTTCCTCTGCTGATTCACTCCCCAAGTGACCACTTACGATTAGAGCCGGGCTAATCCGAAGCCAGGAGCCTGGAGCCTCTTATGGGTCTCCCACGTGGGTGCAGGGTCCCAAGGCTTTGGGTCATTCTCGACTGCCTTCCCAGGCCACAGGGAGGGAGCTAGATGAGAAGCAAGGCTGATGGGATTAGAACCGGTGTCCATATGGGATCCAGGGGCATGTAAGGTGAAGACTTTAGCCACTAGGCTACTGCACTGGGCCCGTGACTACACTTTTGTACCCACAGATTGATAATATTGTCACCACTAACACTTCCCCAGTGACAGAATAATGAATATTTACTTTAAGATTTATTTGTTGGAAAGGCAGAGTTACAGAGAGAGGGAGAGAAATCTTCATCTGCTGGTTTATTCCCTAGAGGGCCACAATGACCAGAGCAGAGCCCATCCGAAGCCAGGAGCCAGGAGCTTCCTCTGGGTCTCCCACGAACATGCAGGCGCCCAAGCATCCCCCGCGGTTCTCTCAAGCCACAAGCAGGGAGCTGGATCCGAAGTGGGGCAGCTGGGCCACCAACAGACACACACACGGGATACTGGCAGTTGTAGGTGGTGGTTTTATCCACAATGTTATAGCTCTGCCCTACGATTTATCTATTTATCCATTTATTTATTTGAAAGGCTGAATGCTTCTTCTGGGTCCTCCACACAAGTGCAGGGTCCCAAGGCTCTGGGCCATTCTCTACTACTTTCCCAGAACATGAGCAGGGAGTTGGATGGCAAGTGGAGCAGCTGAGACAGGAACAGGCACTTGATGGTGCTTGGAAGTGGAGGACTAGCCAATTGAGCCATCGTGCCTGGCCCAGCTGGTTAGCTATTAAGTCGATAGTTTTGCAAGGCCTGCAAACAGCATTCTAAATTTCTAAATGGTCCTCAGCAGAAGGGTGAAGGATTCCGCACTCCTGGTCTAGGGTGTTGGAAAGCCATGCACCATATCTCTAAGATGACTGATTTCCCATCTGCCATGCTCCAGACCGGATGTTTGCTGAGATCTGAATGGAGAAGGCGAGTCAAGGAGAGGGTTGCTGGTGTTGCGCTAATGGCACTCTAGCAGCAACCATAGCTGGGAGCGAGAGTAACCTGAGAATGTCGGCTTTCTCTGGACCACTGGAAAGTTAGCTTTTAACACATTTTTTTCCCCTCTTCCGACAGGATGTAATACAGGGTACAACAGGGTGCACACCTCATGATTGTGTTTGGTGGTTCACCGGCTGTCGTGTGTCACACTTCTTAAAATCCCTTGATTGGCAAGAGCAGGAAAGCCTGCCCAGCAGCTGGCCACAACACTTCCTTTCCCCTGGACCGTGGCGGAGATTCTTGTGCTCACACCATTATCCTTACTATTTTCTAAGTATCGTTCTCCAGTCAATGAAAATCGTATATATATTTTTTCTCCATCAAATCCCCCCGCCTTAACTGAAACTGATTTCCATTCATTCAATCCAAGAACTCAGAACAAGGAAGGTGCCCTGCTTCCAGGAGCTTCTCCTGTTAACGTCCCCAAATAAATCCTTGTTTGCAGAACGCAAATGCATTTTCAATGGCTCAAGCCTCAACTGTCAAAACCTCAGGCACTAAATTCGCATTGATACCAATTATTCATGGAACAATCTTTAAAGAAAAAAATAATGTGCTGAAGAAACTCTTGTATGCGCTGAACTTTTACTGTGCTACTGAATTGCAACAAAACAGAAATTCCTGCTAAGACAGCTAGACATCAAAGTCAAGCGAGAGCCAACAATTACACACAATGCAAGCTTTATGCGGGTTAAAATGAGAGACACATACTTAATAGGATTGTATTAAAGCACCTGGCTGTGTGGAAAGCGGGGTGGGGGTGGGGGAGTAATTATTTTCGCTTTCTTTGGCAGGCAGACTTCGGTTGGCACAGGCTGTATTTCATTTTACATGCTGTACCATATTAAAAAAAAATACCAACTTGGAGAATGCTCAGAGAACAGCAATGGATGAAAGGTTTGTGAAGTTAGATGCTTGAGACAGCTGCAGGCTGTGTGGTGTGTGTGTGTTTGTGTATGACGTATGTGCATCTGTGTGTACACGCGTGTGCGTGTGTGAGATGTGTGTGTGTGTACGGTGTGTGTGGGGGTGTGCACGAGCTAGGGTGACTCGCTCACAGGAAGATTAAAGTTAGGAAATGAGCAAGTGGAGACACACCTGTGTTTAGAGATGCTATATGATCTTGGAGATAAAGGAAGGGCATCTTTGGGAGAAAACGAGTCCTCATGGAAGTCAGCTTGACTTAACTTCCTCATCTGGGGAGAGGGACCCCAGGGCAGCCCTCCTCTCCTCAAAGAGCAGGGACTACGGAGAGTTGAGAGTGGACGGGTGACCACGCACACAGGCGACTGGTAAGCGACCAGGTCGCACACGAGCAGGAGCTGCTCATGGGCACATGGTCCCTTTCCAGGGTGACGAGAAATGCTCCAACGTTAATCATTGTTGCTGGCTGCTCAACTCCCCGATTCATAAAGAGTCTGGGAGTCTGCTCTGGCTACCCTAAAACACAAACTCTGAACCCAAAGAGAATGGATACCGCACCTCAAACGAATACCAAGCTCGTATGGACACAAGGAGAGACCAAGTGGCCCAGGCCCTCACTCATCACCTAGGGCGACATGGCTGGTGCTGGCACGGGGCACATGGAACAGTCTTTCGGATTCCGTGGAATGCAGGCAGAACTGAGTTGTCCTGTCTGGGACCTCAGGCACACACCTGTGTGATCGGCTGTGCAGGCTGACTCATCTGGAATTGAAGTTTAGTCGAGGGTAAGGTTTTTCCTCCCAGGCTCTCCACGTTGGCATGCGTGGCTCTCTCAGCGCCCTGGCAGTGCCTACCCACCGCTGAACCAGTTAGGACGCAGAGCGCAGGCTGACTCTGTGAGGTGGTGAAGGAGGCCCGCTCCGGCCTCGTGCTAAAAACCGCACAGTGTCATCCCAGATGGGCAAGGGTCATCAATAGCTCAGTCCCTCTGTTGTCTCTCCCACTCTGCTGTAGGTTATGCACAAAGCTTAAAATGACTCACTAGACTGTAGGACTGTTGGTTGTTCACAAAAATGTATCCAAATATGACTGGTATTTATCTGGCTATGACTTTCTAACCAGTTCAATGTTCTGGGAGGCGTGGTGTTTTTCTTTTTTTTCAAGATCTATTTGTTTTTATTGGAAAGTCAGATATATTTGAGGGTCTCTCTTATGCAAGGTCTGAGAAGGAAGAAGCTATACAATCCTGTAACACACTCAAAGTGAACCCACAATGGAACTGACTTAACAGAAAAGTGTCCCTTTAACGTCCCCAGGCCATCCCACCCTTATTTAAACAACGATTTTAGAATAGGACATGGCTAAACAAAGGCGATGGAGGTACTTTTTTTTTTCCTTGGAACACACTATTCAATCATTAATCTCTTTGTTTGAAGCAGTTGCTTTCATTATGTCTATATATTACATCTTTCTTTGCACTGTATTTGTTTGCCTTAATCCTGGGACCACAAATACATTGTTTTCTACTTCCAAAATTGGATAATGACTACGTTTCATAAAGACAAGGGAAAGGACTTATATAATTAGTGCAGAGCCCAGTGTTGATGAAAACAAGAAAAATTCACGCTGAATCGATGTCTGGTGACTTCTCTGGTCAAACGTGTTAGCATGGATGCCAGAGTAGCAACAGAAGGGGTGATATTTTCATCTGGTTGTCTGTTCTAAATAGTGTTTCTAGCGTGTTACGTGTGAGTGGAAGTTTTTGTGGTGTTGGTCTCGGGTTCTTTTTGCAGCTAATTTTTTTCTTCAAAAGGGGGTCACGTTAAGGAATTTTGAATTGCATCAACTTTCAACACGTCAGGGTACAGGCTAACACACTGGGAAACCGTGACACTGACAGAAATCTGTGTGTGGCTCTAACTTGACATGTGAGAATGTTAGCTTTGACTTTTCTGTCAATTCGCCCTTGGACTCCCGCAGTTCCTGGAACAAAACAAAGGGACTAATCAGAATTCAGGTTGCGTGAGTGGTCCATCTGCTTCACGCATGGTTGCTGAATGCTTAATATATAAAAGGCACCGAGCTGGGCTTTCCAGACCCATCCATGAATCAGCACGAATAGCAAAGATAGGTGTTTACTAAGGAATTCAGATGATAAAAAGCAAAGAAGTAATTGTAAAATAATTATGAACCATGATACGTGCTCTGAAGCCAAGACAATGCTGTGAAAGAGAATAATACAAAAAAGAAAGCCATAGGACCCAGCACCGTAGCCTAGCAGCTAAAGGACTCAACTTGCATGTGCCTGGATCCCATATGGGTGCTGGTTTGTGTTCCGGCAGCCCCGCTTCCCATCCAGCTCCCTGCTTGTGGCCTGGGAAAGCAGTCGAGGACGGCCCAAGGCCTTGGGACCCTGCACCTGTGTGAGAGACCCAGAGGAGGCTCCTGGCTCCTGGCTTTGGATCGGCTCAGCTCTGGCCATTGTAATTACTTGGGGAGTGAATCAGTGGACAGAGGATCTTCCCTTCTGTCCCTCCTCCCCTCTGTGTATTTGCCTTTCCAATAAAAATAAATGAGATTTTAAAAAATAGAGAGCCACTTTAAAATGAATGATCAAACGAGGTTTTTTGTTGGTGACAGCTAAAAGAAGAGGAAGGTTTGGGGTAGGAGAGAGGAGACATGCCCTGCATGGGAGTCAGTGCAGGGAGGCACTCAGGAATATGTTCCAGTTTCAGAGGGAAACCTAATGTGGCCATTGCAATAAGAACAATGAGAGTGGCAGAACATATTTGTGCAAAAGTGGAAATCAAAATCCCGGCTCAGGAGTCAGAAAACCGAGTCCTGCAGGCCCAGTCCATCCTGCCTCTTATTGTCAGAAGGTTTGGACTGGAACACAGCCTGGTCCATATGGCTGCACATCGTCTCTGGCTGCTTTGGGGTGATGAGCGACAGTGGGTCCACACGAAGTCGTTAGCGCTGGGTTGTTCACTGAGAAATCCGCTGGCCTCTGTACTAGGGTGCAGACTAAATTAGAACTGACAGCATGGAAGTTGAAAAGGTCAGGCCTTCCTGAAATGCGGAACTAGTCTGTGCCGGTGACTCATCCAGATGAGAAAGTCGCATCACAGGTGAGCAGCTCAGCACGCTGGGTGCAGAGCTGTGAGAAGCCTTGTCTCCAGGCAGAAGGAAAGTCTTTCCAAGTCAGCACCTGGTTCCATGAGGCACAGGGGCCAAATACTGTTAGCTTCATCCAAGGTGCTCATGCACCCGAACAAGGCCAGAGGCTAAACACGCTTGCACAGTGAAAATGCAGTCGAGTTCAGGAACGCAGGAGGAAACTGCACAGGAAAGCCAGATGGTAGATGGCGTGGGGAGATAGCTGCAAGCTTTGCTCATGCATTAACTGTGATGGCTGAAGTTCCGCTTAGCATCCACTCCAGCCATTCTCCAAGGCGGGACTGTGAAGAAAACCCTTCAAACGGGACCCTAAGGAAACTAAATCCAGCTTGTCTACATCACAAGTAAGTCTGGCAGACCCTGCTTTATAATCTGATTCACAGATGTTTTGTCTGGCTTGCATTGGAAACCTCACGTTAAAAAAAAAACCCACTATGTATTTATCAAGTAAGATCACTTCATTTCCATATGGGAACATATCAACTAGAGTATCTTGCAGTGAGGGCACACGTGGATGGTCTCCAGATGGCAAGAGTTCCACTCACAGCCTTCTCTCTTCATAATGATGCAAAAGGGATTGACATAATTTTTACATTCTGGTCTTGTCCTAGGCTTGTGACATGTGGTGTATTTTCTTGTGGAGCTGGTTAGCTGGTTATGAGGATAAACAACCAATACTCTATCATACACTTGGCGTTGCTCAGCTGGAATGGTTGGTTGGTTAAGGGTATTAAATGCATTTTAATTTTTTAAAAATTTTATTTTGGATGCTGTTTACGTAGTGGATAAGGACGCACACCCCTGAGGACCACTGACTAGGGTGGAGAGGGTCAAGGTGTGGGTCAAGGTGTGTGGGCCAAATGCTTCCGATTTTCATTTTCTTCACATTTCTCCTGTATGTATGGGCAAGGAGGGCACAGGAGGCACTCCCATCTGCCAAACTGCATCACTACCTGGGGATAAGATGCCATCTTAGAAACCCCGATGTGGAGAAGAACGTTCTGAGGGTATTACTTAAGTAGTTTTGATAATTCTGAGACACTTCAAGGTTGAAAAAAAAAATCCCTCCAAGGTCCACTGGCTGACAGAGTCCACCCCAGCGCGTCCATTCAGCCAGACACCTGCTGCCAAAGCTCAGCCAGGAGAGTTGTCCAACCTGTTCTGTTCTCCATCTTCTGACACGGCATTTGGGGTCCTCTGCAGTCGCAAATGAGCTGGCCATCTTGTCTCCCATCACCTGGGCTTGCTGTCCATTGCACAGGCTTCAGCAATCAAGGAGGCCCAGTCCTAACACATGCATTCCAAGGGTGGACCACAAATTCTGTGGTCCCCACTGTGGTTGGAGTTTTGAGTCCAGTGGTCTAGTCTGGGAGTCCCTCCAAGAAACCTCACCTGGAATGACTCAAGGCCCGGGTTTTGCAAGTGCCAGCCAGTACAGGGTCACCTGCATCAGACTACAGACACACTGGGAATATAGTTGCCTGGTCGGTTCAGTCTCCAGCCCCACATCCGTTTATTTCTCAGCCACACTCCACTAAAAGGGGCCCAGGCATGCTTCTGCGTGCACAGCACCCAGACCCTGCACCTCAGCCCCCCGCCCCGCCACCACGTGCAGCTGTTCCCAGGGAGGGGTGCAGGTCCCAGCAGCACCCATCACAGCACGGACTCTAGCCTCTGCAGGAGGGCTCAGTCAAAGGATCCCGTACCCCAGTCTCATCATTGTGAAGCAGCAGTTATTTGTTGAATTAGCTTTTCTGCTTTTCTCACCAGATTGTTCCTAAGGAATAACTGAGAGTGAGTGTCTACTGTGGTAACCAATTCCTTGTGTCACTTTCCCAGCACCAAAGTCATCCACTTCTCTCTTATATTTGCCTTTGGCTTCCTATTCTAAACACCACCCCTTCTCACCGATGGAATTGCACTGGCCTTTTCCCCCCGAGACTTTGAGCCCATGATCTCCCCCTTACATCCCAGCTGTCCTTTAAGCTGAATTCAGGGTCCGTTCTAAATACTTGAGTCAGTTCTGGCTCCTTGTTGGAAATGATTTACTGGTTGGTTATAGCCACAAATTCCAGTGAAGCCTCCTTGGTCTTTATTCACATCAACCATTCTGCTGCTGCAAAAACTCTTTTATTTGTAAACTATAAATCTCATTATATTTCAGTCCCTTCAATCATCCCTTTAAAAAGTCACACTTTTTAGTATGGCATATAAGCTGGGTTTTTTTGTCTTTGTTTTTCCACTCACTTGAAAGCCAGAGAGAGAATGAGAAATCTTGCTTAGTCTCAAAGATTCTGGGAAGCAGTTTCATGGGTTACAGAGGTAAGGAGAGGCACAGAAAAGCTTCCCATCTCCCTCTTCACTCCCCCAAATGGCCACAAAGCCACGAGCCGGGAGCTGCTTCTGGTTCTCCCACTTGGGTACAGGGTCCCAAGGACATGGGGGCATCCTCTGCCGCTTGCTCAGGCCACCAGCAGGGAGCTGGATGGGAAGTGGAGCAGCTGGGACTCGAACTGACATCCATATGGGATGCTCACACCACAGGCAGAAGCTTAGCTCCCAACACCAAGACGCCAGTCCGTTCAGTTTGATTTTTCCTAAAGCTTCTTGAACTTGGTAGAAGTTTGGAATGTGGAAGAGAACTCATGACACGGATTTCCTTACCCAAAAAGAGGACCTGAAAATAAAGCACCTAAGACCCAAGACCGGGGGTTGGGGGCAGGAACAGGTGGTAACTTCCAGCCCCATCCTGTCTCCCCAGTCTGCCGCCAGGCAAATCCTAGGCATTTTAGAGAAACAACACGAAACTCAGAATTCCAACTTCCTAAAGTCACAAGAACGGCTAATCCTTAAACTGCCTCCATTCCTTCCACAGAGCTACAGGCAAGTTAGGTTTCGCTTCCGACTCCTTTCATCTGGCCGTCTTAACTACTTTCATTTATTATTATTATCATCATTATTATTATTATTTTCATCCATTCCGTGGACTTTCTGAGCTCTTGCAAGATCTAACCATTAAATCAAACCCGCAGTCTTTGCTATGGTGACAACCGTATTCTCAACTGCCTCGTCAAGTTCTTATCTTGTAAATCCAAAAAAAAAAAATCCGTCTTTCACAAACTCCTTATCTTCGAAGATAAAAATCAAAACGCACGCCTACAAAACATGGAACGTTCCATGAGAGTTTCAGGGTTTTTATTCTTGGCGAATCTAAGGTACGCAAATCATTAGACCAGCAAAATCTTTAGGGGTCCCATCGTAAGAGTTGAAAAAAAAAAGTTTCCGGGTCCAGACGGGGTTCTTACCTTCAGGGTCAGAAAGAATGCGCCATGTCTGCAGAAAAGCTAACATCTCCCTCCAGCCTTGGCGTTCGGAATGTCAGAATCACGCACACTCTCACCGCGCCAAGTCACTCTTGAGTCCCTCCCACCCCACCGACTAACCACCACCGGAAAAAGAGGACTTCAAGTCCGGCGAAAACTTTTCCCAGTTGCGCATCCCTGAAATTGGCTTTTCCCAAAGCGCAATTCCTTCTCCCAGGGCGCAAAGCGGCAATGCGGCGGGGTGCCTCCTGACAGCTCCCCGAGGATACCCCGAGTCACAGGACACCACCCCCCGCTCCGGGCTGGCCTCGGCGGGATATGAGGAGCCTCGGCCTCCGCAATTCGCTCCGCCGCCGGCCGCGCCCCGCCGCGCTCTGACCTCCGAAGGCGCACCGCTCTGCGCGCCCGCCCTTTCGGCTTGCGTTGGCCTGTTTCACTGGCTGCCCCACGGCTCCCTCAGCGTGCTTCGCCCAATGGGGCGGCCCGGCCGGCGTGTCTCCCCTCTCTCTCTCTCTCTCTCTCTCTCTCTCTTCTCTCTCTCTCCCCCTTCCCCGGGCACTCCGCCCCCGCGCCCCGCGCTAAGGGAACCGAGGAGAGTAAATACAAGAGGAGCGCAAAATGGCGGAAGCGCCGAGTCCCGTGCACGGCGCCGCCACCGTCCCAGAGAAAGAAGTATCGGGCAAGCTGCAGCCCTTCTCCCGGGACCTACCGGGGGCTCTGTCGGCCAAGAAGGTCCGGACGGAAGAGAAGAAGCTGCCGCGGAGAGTGAACGGAGAAGGGGGCAGCGGCGGCGGCGTCCACAGCAGGCAGCCTCAGCCGGCGGTGGCGGCGGCACCTTCTCGGAGCTATGGCAGCCCGGCCGCGTCCTGGAGCTTCTCGTCTCTGTCGGCCGCGTCCCCGTCATCCTCTTCTCGAAGCTCTTTCTCCTCCTCCTCCGGCGCAGCCTCGGCTTCCCTGTCTCCTCCGGTACCTCCGCGTAAAGTGCTGGTCCCTCCTGCGCTGCCGCCGCGCGCTCAGCCTCCGCAGCTCCTGCAGCCGGCCAAGCCGCGCACACCCAAGGACAGGCGGGAGAAGGAGAAGCGGAGGCACGGCCTCGGCGGGGCGGCCGCCCGGGAGGAGAACGGCGAGGTGAAGCCTCTGCAGGCTCCGCAGCCTCCTCCGCCGCGAGGTGGGTGCGGACGGGCCGGGCCCGACGCCTCGGGGGTCCCCGCCGTGCACCCCGAGGTCTGTGTGTGTGTGTGTGTGTGGCTTGCGTGCGCGCGCGCCACAGCCTGGAAAGGGGGCAGGAGGCGAGGGGTTGTTCTCCGCCGGCGATTTTGCAGATAGCAGCCGATAAGGGAGCCTGCCTGTCATTTCGGTGGCGGAGACGGAGAGCGAATGGCAGGGAAAGCTCTGGATGTGTGTGTGTGTGTGGGTGTGTGTGTGTGCGCGCGCCTTTCTGCGGGTGTGTGTGCGCTGCGGGGGGAGGAAAGGTTTGGTCCCTGTCAAGGGTGCCAGATGGGAGAGAAGAGTTGGGTCCGAGGAGTACTTGATGGATGCGTGTCCCGCGCGTGTAGACCTGGGGAATTCGTGTTAGTGACACAGAAGAGAGGAGAGAGAGAGAGAGAGAGAGAGAGTCCGCCGGCAGCTACTCCGAGGCCTGTGCAGGGAAATGAGGTGCCGTGTGGGTCCTCCTCTCTAGCACCCCAAGGGTGCTGTTGGCTACTCGCTTCTGAGGCTCTGTGGCCCCCAAGTACGTGTGTGTGGAGTGGTCTTGTTGCCAATCCCACCCTCTGCAAGATTTTTCAGCCATTTTTTCTCTCTCTCTCCGCCTCCCCCCCGCCCCAAGCAAATGATAAAATCGGGAGCTGTGACATTTTGGGGTCAGATGCAAAATACTGGATTGAGAAGCAATGCCTTCAGCATCCTTTTCAAACACAGTCCGCTTCCTTTTATGAATCTGGGCTATTCGAAGGCGCGTTTCTTGACAATGAATGGTGCTGCGGATTTAGCTATGGAGGCACTGGGCTCTGAGACTAGGAAACTATGTAGACTTGTTGAAAACCACATGTTCGTGTGAGCGCGTGCTTGAAGTTCCCCCATGATCGTCATGATAGATTCACATCGTCCCCCCCTCCCCTTCCCCCCTTTTTTAAGGAACCAAGCAGGCCGTTTGAGCTTAGGTGTTCAAAAAGTCTCTAGATGTTTGAGTTGCGATGTTTTAATTTTCACAACTCTGGCAGGCGTGTGGAGTAACAGTGTTACTTCTCCCTTTGCTGATTGTGCCCGCGTTGACATCTCACCGGAACCAGCAGGCAGGTGCTCTGGTGCAGTAACCTCAAGATCTTACCTTGGAGGGGGGGGGGTCTTGAAAATCGAATTTGCCTTAACTTTTGCTCAGACTCTCTTAGGCGGTTAGAATTTTACAGCTGTTTTTGTTTCAATGGCGGTGGCTAAAGTTTAAATGCAAAATGTCTGGAGGTTTATTCCGATGCGGCTTGGTTCTCAGTTTAGTCTGTGGTGAGCGAAAACTTCCCTGGCCCTTTCTCACATTCTGAAGAATACGGAATACTGGGATAACTGGAAAGAAAGAAATAAGATTTCCTGAACGACTCTTTCTGAAAATGTGAACGCACAAATGGAGCTTAGGGTGAAATGGCTGTTAATATAATTTTTTGCAGGATTTTTGAATTGGTTTTAGAATTCTCACTGTGTGGGTCCCTGCCTACATTTTTTTAAGCTTAAATAGAAGCATTGCTAACTTTCTTTCACATTAGATGTGGGAAGGTATTTTCCTGTGGCTCATGTAGGATTTTTGAATAGTAACAAGATATTAACACTCATGTGAATTAGTCCATGCATCCATCGTGACCTCCCGGGGGGCGCGTGAGCCGGAAGCCAGAGGCAGGACCCCTGGTCACCTACAGGGCTCAGGTTCAAGAACAGAAGTCCCGCTGTCGCCTTGTCTCTTAGCTGCTAGGCCACAAGCCTGCTCCTTGGTGGCAGTTTTTGTGGTAGAAATGCTTCCTTTTGGGAAGTGATCATATCCTTTACCAAAAAAAAATGTTTGGATTTGAAATGCTTAACAACTAGTGGTGTTAAAGTGACAAGATTGGGTTTGTGCCCTTTTTTTTTGTTTTAAGAGACAGAAGTGCAGATAGCAAAGTCCTGATTTTGTAACACTGTACTGGTGTCTGGGAGCTTTTTCTATAAGTGTCGGTGACCGGAAGTCTGCAGTGTGTGTTGTTGCGGGTGTGTGCTGTTTGATGGTGCTCTCAGCTGGCTGTTTGCAGGTCAGTGACCCGTCCACTCAGTTAGTTAGAAAGATCTCAACAAGCAAACTAGATCCTCTTTCGACAAAACCCAAGCTGACACACGCACCCCGCCAGAAAATCTAGCTCCCCCACTTCCATTAAACCGTTAAGCTCCTGCATTTATAATAGATCTTTTTTTTTAATGCCCCTTAAGTAGAGCTGCAAAAATTCTTTTTGCCTTGGTGACTGTGCTAGCAGCAAATAATTGCATTAAATGGATGTAGGGATATGGAAGGGCATCGGTGAATGTCACTTGAGTCTGAAGCATAATTATTCTTTTTTTTTTTTTAGCCTTGTGACGAAAATAAAAAAAAAAAATGGGTTAAACCTGTTGGAGGGAAAAAAAAAGAGAGAAGGACATGAGAATTATGCAAGCATAGCAGTGTGTACAACGACCCACACACCGTTCTATAATGTCCTCCTGTGGATTGGCAGAGACCCGTGGGGCACGACCATCGGACGTGGCCCAAGCCCGCACCGTATCCCGCGCACTTGGTGCCCATAATGCTGGGAAATGGGGCCCTTGCAGCCGCCGCCGCTGCTGGAATCAGCTGGTTTTTGCTTCTGCTGAGGGATGAAGGCGCCCCTTGACCCACCAGACGTGTGTTCTCCTGGGTAGATCGTCAAGTGCCAGCAAGGCAAATTGATTGCTTACTAAAAGTGCCAAAACATTTTGGATTAAATTTTTAAAAATTTTTTTCACTGGCAAGACAGAGAGCTCCGCATCAGCTGGAGAGTCCCAAAGGCCAGGGTTGGGGAGGGAAACTGGGACCAGGAATCCTAGCCCGTGTTCCTGAGTGGGCCGTAGGAACCAGCCTGTACACGGATCCCCTCTGCCGCTCTCCGCAGGCTCTCTGTTAGCCGGGAGCAGACAGGCCAGGGGCCGGAGCCGGGAGTCTGCCTGCCTCAACTACTAGCCTAAATATCTGTGTCCTGTTTTAGATTTCTTTCTTTTTTTTTTTTTTCCTTAAAGATTTATTTTGCTTGGAAAAGCAGATTTACTAAGAGGAAGATCTTCCATCTGATGGTTCACTCCCCAGATGGCTGCAACGGCCAGAGCTGAGCCAATCGGAAGCCAGGAACTTCTTCCAAGTTTCCCATACAGGTGCTGGGTCCCAAGGCTTTGGGCTATCCTCGATTGCTTTCCCAGGCCACAAGCAGGGAGCTGGATGGGAAGTGGAGGAGCCAGTATACAAACTGGCACCCATATGGGATCCCAGCGCTTGCAAAATGAGGATTTAGCCACTGAGCCATTGAGCTGGGTCCATGTTTTAGACTTCTGAAACTAAATGCTAATCAGGTCTGGTGGTTAGAGAAGCTGTCTACTCATGAGTAAAGCCATCTTCCTGGGGACATGTCCTGAAGTTTAGGATAACATCGTGGCAAACCAAAGGAAGCACACACATGCTTACGTGACCGAGAGAAAACATGGAGAATGTCACTGAACTTTTGCAAATACGCTTACAAGAATTTAATGAAACTGAAGGCTTTTATTCTAATTGAATAATAAGAAATTGTGTAAAAGTGATTTCCAAGGTGTGGCTGTGGGACGCTTTCTCAAGCTACGTTCTCATCCATCTTTTCTGCCATTTTCTAAGTTTATCATTAGAGTTATCCCATGAACAAATATGGACAGTGTGGTTACAATTTTCTCCTGTGTGGATCTTTTGTGGTTTTCTTTCTTTTTTCCCTCCTTTTTCCTCTAGTTTTCTCTGGTAAGGTCTCTCTCTGCCCTCCAGCAGCGCCATAACAAGCTTCCGGGTAGAGTTTTAGAGATGGGCAGATCTGTCCGACAAACTCGCGGGTTCCGTTCGGCGCTGTGGTTGTCCATCCCTTCCCTGGCCCTCCTCCCCGCGTCAGGCTCAGTACTTTCCTCCTTGGCCTCTGTGGAGCCATCACCTTGGGACTTCCCCAAGTTGACAAATTCTGGAAACTTCTGTTGAATCTC